CTGCCCTACCTTCTAAGCCACCCAATATCCAGAACCTCCTAATGGGTGCTTCCCCCTTCAACAGGTAATGGTAGGAAGAGGGCGAGTCTATGTCCCCTTCCAGCTATCAGATCTAAGGGGAATTAAAAAACATCTGGACAGCTATACTGATGCCCAGACAAATACATTTAAGTCTTTATCTCTGTGATCCAAACCTTTCAATTGACATGAAAAGATATTCTGCTTCTACTAGACCAGACTCTTTTCTCATTAGAAATGCAATGGGTTCTGACCCAGTCTGCTCAGGTTGGAAATGATTACCATTTACAATGCACCCCAATACTAGTGGCACCTGGAAATGAGGGAATAAATGCACCTACCTACAGGGGCACAGGCAGTTCTCTTGACAGATCCACACCAAAGGGGCTGACGATATGGCTCAAGCAGTAGAGTGCATGTTGCAGGCATAAAGTTCTGAGTTCAAGCCCAGTACAGCCAAAGGAACATATATATATATATATGTATGTATATATATATATTTGGGGATAAAGATGTAGCTCAATGAAAGAGTGTCTGCCAAGCATGTTCAAAGCCCTGGGTTCAATTCCCCAACATTACTAAATCAAAAAAAATGATGAAGAGGATAAATGGTGTTAATGCCACTTCAGCCATCTCATAGTGGAAGAAAGTAGTTTAACCTAGACCAGATCCCTCATTCTTCAAGTGAGGAAACTGAGGCCCAGAATAGTTCAGAGACCTGCTCTCCAGAGTGTCAGGTGTCAATGTTAAATAACAACTTTACTTTACAGCAACATCCTAAAGAAAATCCCCTTACCTTTCTACATCTTAAGGAGGCTATCAGAAAGTATACCATGGTGGACCCAGAGTCACAGGTGAGAGAGGTTCTCCTCAAAGATAAATTTCTAACAGTCAGCCCCTGATATTTGTAGAAAACTCAGTCTATGACTGAAGGAGAAAAGTCATTGGATCAACTAATACAACTAGCCATGTCTGTGTACTATAACCAGGACCTTACTAACAGAGAGAAAGAAAAGAGACATCATGATCTCACTGCTGCCCCCACCCAACTGGGGCCTACATCTCAAGTTTGCTACTATGGTGGACAGAGGGACACTTCTACAGAGAATGCTTAAGGGGGGACAGCAAGGGAGACAGCCCCGCCCCAACCGGGACCCTGCCCTCTGCAAGGGTAACCACTGGAGGTCTAAGTGCCCCTTAGACCTGTCTCCAGATGGAAGGCCAGGTACCACCTCCTATGGATTGATGGGTCCCAGCCCCCGTCCATGCTCCACTTCTTGGCATCCATGTTGAGGAGCCTCAGGGTAGCCATAATGGTAAAAAAAGCAAAGGTCATTTTCCTCCTAGACAACAGAGCCCATTTCTTTATTTTACCTTTCTCTCTGGGTCCGCAGTCCAATGACAAAAGTTATCATTTGGGGACAAAAAACCATTACAAAAAAAGATTTTATCAAAAAAATTATTTGTGTTTTCTGCTGATCTTGTCAAGCTTTAAATACTACTAAATCAGAGTTCATTTACATATTTGCTTATGTGTCTTAAACGACCACCTTGTAACAGTGTTGTGTCTATACTTTATCTCAATATGGTACAAACATTTACAAAGTTATATACAAAATGAGCTAAAACTCTCTTTTATCCAAAGATGTTACATTTAACCGAAATCCTGACAGCCCCTGCCTCCCACAGGTCACCTACCTAAGCGTGGCCTTAAAGGGACAGACTCACTCCCTGAGTCATGAGTGCATCAAGCCAATCTTCCGTTTCCCTCCTCCTATGCCATAAGACAGTTTACAGCTTTTTGGGGAGTTACAGGATTTTACAGAATTTAGATCCTAGGTATACAGTCCCTTAGCAGACACTTTTTATACTACTCCTAATATTCCTATTTGGGTCTTAAATAATGTATGGCCACCCATTTCTCTTAGAAAACTTGCCTCCAACAGACTCTGCTCCTCTGGCTGACTACCTGCTTTACCTTAACCTTCTCAGGGAACTTCTCAGAAAGCATGCAGACCAGATCCTGCCCCACCCTATAACAATTTCTGTTAAACCAGGAGATCTTGTTCTCTTAAAGGATCTTCTACTCTCTCCATTGAAACTTCTGTGGACCAGCCCTCATCTGGTCATTCTCATGACACCCACTGCTGTCAAGCTCAATGGGATCCCCAATGGCAGCACCTCTCAAGGAACAATTAAAAAAAAAAACAGAGAAGGAAATTGGAGGACTCTTGAAATTGTCTAGGGAACAACATTTCACAGTGGTTCTCCTGGCCAATGCCCATCCTAATGCCTATGTTTCTTGCTCTCCTATTCTTGAGCTTCCTCCCTTGTGTCATACTACATGTCTGCTATTGCTAATCAAAAGTTTAACCAGTTGTACCTCCAGGGGTATCAACCTCTCCAAAACCATCCAGAGGACTGCTATGAGGGCCCCCACCAGGATGCAGGAGCCTGAGGATCTCGCCCCATACAATGCCCCTGCCAGCAGGAAGCAGCTAAAGAGACTGATGCTTCACCCCAATTCCTGATCCTCAGCCCCTACCCTCATCATTATTAACAAAAAAATGGGGGAATGATAAGAACCGCCCCTTGCCACCATTCTGCACCCTGAACCACAACTGGTCTCATCCCTTGCAGAACAAAGCCCCACTGTCCCTTAACTCCTGTCACCTCCCTTTGCCTGTCCCTAGCCCTTGCTTTTTCCCAAATGCTACTTAAGGCCACACCCACCGAGAGAAGCTGCTGCACCATCTTTTCCTCAGCCAGCCTGGCAGTTTGGGCCTGCCATTAAACTTTGCTCTATGGATGTGAGACTTTTCTCATGAGCTTTTTTTGTGAGCAGTGTTTTTCCTAAAAGATCTCTACCACCTGTTCATTTTATCAACTGAAACCAGCAAGATTAAACTATGCCAAAGGCTTCCCCAAATTAAATTTAGCTGGGGTTTGGGAAACTGGTGTCCACACCCATCCTGGGTTTCACAGTGTTATTTCCAATTCCAGTCCATGAGGAATCAGAGGAAAACTCTCATGGCAGCATGTCTGTGCTCTGCAAGAGCCTGCTTTTGTGACATAGACAGACCAGCCCTCCCAACAAGGGCCCACTGTTGTTTCGATCACTAACAAATGGAAGGACACTCTCTGTGAGGACATTATGTTACCCTTTTAGCCTTCCACAGGATGGACCATCACCAGTTTCCCCAAGTGCCCATACAAGAAGTTAAAGGGACATGATGACAGCATAGGACAAAGCTTATATTCTTACTCCAGATGTAGAAGTGTGTGTGTCCACACAGACATGATCCCAAACCTCCCTGCCACAACTGGACAGATGGCTGAGGGCCAGCAAAGACTTCTGCAGCCCAAGAAATGACATTGGGTCCCCATGCTGTGTAGCCCTTGACAAGATTGATCTCGATAACTGCTGCCACCACCAGGAGGGGCACATGTCACTAACACCTGTATTTAACCTTAGTGAAGTCAACCCCAGTGAATAGGACAGCCCAGGAAGCTGAATGGCGACTGTGAGGATGGAGCCCTGACCTGGCAGTTACCTGGCTGCCTCTGGATGCAGAGTGCTTTTCCGTTGGGACTAAAAATTATTATTCTAAGTGCTTATGGTCACATTTTCTACCTTTCTTTTGTTCCCAAGGATTGTCCTTTGGATGTTGCAATATTTCAAGTCTATTATAAGAAAGAAATTACCAAAGTCATTGTGGCCCAGTGATTGGAAATGACCCACCAAACCCCAAGTTCTACTGAACCTCTTAGGTGACACACCTGGGGTCTTCTCTCTACACCTCTCTAGTGCCTGCAGCTGAGCCTTAAAATCTAATCTCTGCTTGATAGCCACTAAAAAAACTTTCCAACAGAAAGATTTTGATCAAAAGGGGGAAATATGTAAAAGTCAAATTTAAACAGATAAAGGGAGATTGAATGACCCAAGATACTAGGCCAAGGCAACACGACAGACCAGGCTACCGTCACTTCAACTTCCAAATGAACTTCTCACTTCCAAGTGTCCTTCCCTGCCCCCCCACCCCTCCACCCCCTACCTGGCCAACACTTGCTACATCTTTTGGTTTGTGTGATGAGGGTAGATAGCCACCAGGGTCATTGTGTTCCCTGTCCCTTCCTTGCTGAGGAATTTCTTTGTTCTTGGGTGTTCCACCCTCCCTTCTGAGAACTTACTTGGGCATATTCTTTTTTTGATTTTTTTGCGTTACTGAGCTTTGAACACAGGGGCTTGTGCTTGCTGGGCAAGCGCTCTACCTGCTGAGCCAGGACTCCAGCCCTTTTGCTTTAGGTTATTCGTCAGATAGGGTCTTGAACCATTGGCCCAGGGCTAGCCTCAAACTGTGATCCATCTACCAATGCCTCCTGACATAACTGGAAATACAGGTGTGAGCCTCCACTCCTGCTCTTCTACAGCTATTCTTGATGTTATCCAATCTCTTTCCAACATGGCAGCTTGCTACCCTGCCTGCAAGAATACAAGTTCTTCACAAGCAGCATATGCTATGCAACTCCCCACATGAGGAATCTGCCATTAAACATTGTTTGAAATCCATAAGACCCCAGAGCGCATGTTCAGTCTGCCTGAAATTTGTGCCTCTCAAGTTGTATCATTGATCAGCTCCAATAACTTCTCTTTGTTTTATAAACAATTTGTGCCTCTTATGCTCTTAGGAGTCAACAAGGGCTCACCTTCAGTTCTTTCTAATCACCAGAAGAGAGCCAGAAAACATGAGGACAGAAACAAGGACAGAAGGCAGAGCAGTGCTGGGAGAGCAGATTTATTCAGGATGGGTGGGAGGAGGGGAGGTATGGATCATCTTGCCAGTCTCAACATGGTTCCAGGGTTGGTGAAACAGGCTTTCCACTTGCCTCCTGTGCTGAACCTTGGCCCACAGAGGACAGGAGCTGGGAGGGGTACAGCTGTGACCCATCTGCATGGGGGCAGCTGACTTTGGAGACTGTGCTCAGCAGCAGGGGGAGCTGCTACAGGTGACAGGTCTGTAGACCAGGGTAGGACAGGAGGGCTGGCAGCTCCCAGAGGACTGGCAGGAGGAGACGAGGCACACAGCAGGCCTGCAGCTCACAGGCATGCCACAGGCCACTTGGAATCTCACAGGAATGAACACAGCAGGCTTGCAGCTCGTGGGCACAAAGCAAGATGGCTGGCTTGGGCTGGACACACAGCAGGAGGCCTGGCTGGGGATGGACACACAGTAGGCTGGCTGGCAGCCCGAGGAGCAGCTGGTGTGGCACATGGTGGAGAGGTGGCGGGTGTTGGCAGGAGGATGGTGATGTCTGGGGCTCCTGCTCCATGAAGCTTTTATACCCAGACCAGGTGTCCAAACAACACACACCACAGCTGTGCCTTCCTTGTTTTGCTTCCTCTGTCCTGTCCCCAGGCTGACTTTTCTGTTGTTTCTGTCCCTGTTTGGGTTTGTCCCTCAGTTTCTTGACTAATTAGCTGTTCCTCAATCCCCTGCCACACCTGGCAACCTGCCAGCCCTGTCCTGGCTCCATGTGGACTCTGCCTTGCTCCATCTCACTCCCTGACTTACTTTTGTGAAACTCCAAATGTGGGAGCCATCTTTTCTTCCAATATATGGATGGTCCTCAAATAATCACAGAGTTTGCACTTCTCAGGTGGTCAGGAAGGCTCTGCAGAACACAGAGGGTGAATGCAGTGAGTCCACCAAATGCACTCATCATGCAGATCTATAGCTCAGAGCTGGAGTCAGAGAGTGGACAGACATGTGAAAGGGCACACAGACTCCTTGTCCCTATGGCAGGAAGGATGGTGGTTTGGATCCTTCTCATGGGGGGCCCTGGATCCCATCCAGAAGAAACCTCTTAGTTAGGAACTGGGGTGAGACACAGCTCTGCCCCTCCTGGATGGAGACAGCTCCAAGGAGGAAGACTAGACCAAGCACATAGTCAGGTAACCTGGGAATCTAAAGGAGGTTCACAGAGGCAAGTGGGAAGCCTGGGCAGGTTGGCAGGCTCTGAGGACCTGGCTGTCCTTGGGCTTGTCCAACATCCAGCCAAGAAAGCACCAGCAAGACCAGAACCATCGTCACTTAGGACTAGAGCTGTCCACATCAGGTCAGGTCACTTAGGACCTAGAGGAGAGAAGCTCGGAGCTGGGCACTGGGTTATTGGCTACCTCTTTGGATAAGGCAAGGTGAGGGGACACAGCCACTTGTCAGAGGCCATCCCTTTGTCTTTCCCCTGAGCCAGAGAAAGGATGTGTGTCTATATCTTCATCACCACCATCTGCCCTCCCTGAATTTTGCTTACAAATCACAGAGTGCACATTTGGAAAGCTTCCAAAACCACTTCATAAAAGGTCCACATCTTCTTATTTCACCTTCAGTGCCAATCTTGACAGAAAGGAAGCTTTTGGGATATAACATGTCTAGAAAGAAACCTGAAGAAATGCTCTGTTGAAAGATGTAGGATTGGATTTACAAGAAATGAGTGTTCTGCATGCTGACCCTAGGTACCTGCTGAAAGCAGCCCTCCTTAACCATCCAGTGGGAATATCTAGGAGATACACCACCCAGTAATTAAGGTGGTGAAAACCAAAAATAAGGACATGCTGAAAGCAGTGGGAGGAAGAGACCTTTGAGTAAAGGAACAAAGATGACAGCAGACTCTCTACAGGGGGAGAAGAGACTCGGGGGACAATGGGACAACATCTTCAAACCACTGAAATAAAAGCTGAAACCCAGGATTTTTTTGTGAAAAAGAAAACTCCACCAAGCTGAGAATGACACGAAAAATGCTCAGGTAAGCAAGGACAGAGAATTTCTCACTAGTGGACCTACACTACAGAAAATGCAGGATGAGCTAGGGCTTGGATGGGTCTCTAAAAGATCCACCTATAGATTATTATCCCCAAATTCATTGTTAAGAGTATTTGCAGGCAGAGCTGTTGACAGCCTCCAGGTAAGAAAGGGTTCCTGAGCTGAGGGACCTCAACAGGAAACCCCAGAGGGGCCAACAGAAGAGGTCAGAAGAGGAAACCAGCACCAGCTATGAGGACAACTCCAAGGTAGCTCTTGCCTGTCCTTGCATAGCCCCCTAGTCAAAGAAAAGAGGGACATGGTGCTCCCTTGTCACCCTCTGCCCTCACACCATTTTGCATGTAAGGCACAAAGTGCATGTTTGCAAACTTTCAAAGCCACAAAGGGTCCCACATCTCCTCACATCACCTTCAACTCCAATCTTAACAGCAAGGAAACTCTGAGAACATGGCACACCAGATGGTGTGTATGAAAAAGAATCCTGGAAGAGGCGCTGCATTAAAGATGCAGGGCTGGAATTGTACCCTTTCTCTAAAGCTGGGCTCCTCACAGCCTGACACAGCTCAGGGTGGTGGCTGACACCCAGAACATGAAGCATACATTGATCCAGACAGGCGTGACCCAGCCCAATTTGGAGGGACACCTTTACTCCCCGATCCCATGTGTTCTTCCTAAGGAGGGACATCCACAAGCAGATCTCGAGACTCTTGCTTCCCCCTCAATGCTGCTCTCTCCTCCTGGCACAAGTGCAGGAGACCACTCATAGGTGAGTAGCACAAGTTGAGGAGGCCCTGGCTGCTCACAGAGGGCCTTGCTGTGAGCTACTGGGCCAGAGCAATCTCAGCACAAAGATCCTGATCCCATACCAGAAGGCTGTGGATTCCCAAACAACCTGCCATGGAGAGGAGAGTGTCATACTGATCTACAAGTCACACTGTAGCTAAGTCCTCCACTGCCTCAATGGGTATACTCAAGTGACTTCAGCTCCCCCAGCATGATGTCAGCCTCTGATCATTGGTTCCACACTAAAACCAAGATAAGGGGTCTCCTGAAGACCTGCTCAAGTCACAACCTCTACTGCAGAGACCACAAAAGTGAATGTGGACAATCTACTGACCCTGGGAAACCCTTATGGAATGGTGATTCCAGACTATCCCACCCATAGCTACACAGCTGAAGAAGATTTTGGTGACTTCCATCTTCAGACAGTGGCCAGCAAGCAGTGAAGACTGTGGCTCTTGAGTCAAAGAAACATACAAGGGACCCCACATTTGCCCAGCAGTCCACCTGGGCCAGCTTTCAATGTGGTGCAGCCAGCAGAGTGTGAGCATATGCATGGCCCTCCAATGCTGGGGGGCTCAGAGGGTGGCCTGAGGAGGCACCTTGAACATGGCAGCATGGTCCAGGAAGAGGAAGCTGTGGCTGTAGCAGGTGCACCTATGCATACACATGTCCTTGAATCTGGAGGAGGGAAGGGGTACAGAATCAGGTCAAGCCCACCATGGGGAAGCTGCTATAGGATTGAGTTGAACTCCTCAGTATCCACCTAAGACCCCACACACCTGTGCCTATGGAGTGAGCACCAGAGCCTAGAAGAAGACTTCCCCTAAGAACTAAACTGAGTCATGATGAGATTGTAGGGAACACGGTTGATGTGGGGTCATGCCAGCTTGTGGAGCTTATGAACCACACTGAATTTTCCACACATGCATCCCAACAAAGTGTGAAGCCAAGCCTGCACAAGACCAAAACAGTCAGCCAGTGACTGTCTGCTTGAACAAAAGTCAATGTCATAAAAAGACAATAGAACCAGATTCTCTAAACCATATCACCAAATTCCCAGTATATTATCAAAACAACGGACATAAAAGGATATTTGAATGTAATTCACTTTTTTTTAAAAAAAGCAAAACCAATAGAAAAAACTTGACATGGTCCAACTATTGAGATTGGCAATGACCACAACTGACTATTATAGACGTGTTCAAAGAGTTAAAGGAAAACATTGCCTTTATGACTGCACAGACAATGGAAATTCTCGACCAGAAGGAAATTCTAGATCCAAAAAGAACAGTAACCAAAATTTAAATATGCCCTCAGAAGGGATTAAGTAGTTCTCAAGAACCAGCCATTGTCTGGCTTCCTGTCCCCCATGTGATCACTCATGCACACAGCTGCCTTTTGATGCCATCCACCATAAAGCCTCAGCAGATACCAAACAGATGGGGTTACCCAGTTGTGGACTTTCAGTTTCTGAAACCATGAGCTAAATAAACCTCTTTTCTTTATACTCTACCCAAGCTCAAGTACTTTGTTATGGACAACTACTGGGAGTTTCTGGGAGGACAGGCATGTCTTGGATCTGGGGATTCTGGGAAGAGGTTCATGTTCTGGTCTTGTAGAGCTGGGGGATGGACGAGCTCTTGTTAGTGGTTACACAGGTGTGTGCATTTGTCTCAGTTCCCCAGATGACACACTTGGGAGTTGCTTCATTTCACATGCAGAACATAAAGGTTGCGTTCTAGCCGATGGTGTGCTTGTTGAAGTTTGAGAAGCTGTGCCTTGGTTTGCAACTTAGTTTGAAATGTGTCAAAAAAAGCCGGATGCATTGACAGAGGGTGGTGTTCCGTTAATAAATACATTAAATGATAGCCTTTTTTATTTAAATAAATGAAGCCACAGATGGATGGGAGGTCACATCAAAAACCTCCACCTTCTGTGACAACCTAACATTCAGAGAGAGCTGGGCTGCCGTCAAAGGAATCAGGGACATGCCAAGAGTCAGGGTGCCCAGTGTCCTCGCAGAATAAAGGTGGACTCTAGTCCTCCACATCCAAACAGCAGCCCAGCTGTGGCCCAGTGCCCAAGAGAACAATGCTTTCAGCCCAAAGTGGTGCAGAAGCCACCATCCCCACCCCAGACTTTCCTAAAGGGGAGCTGAAGTCAGCCCACCCAGGACAGGGACCTTCCACATGTGGGCTGGAGAATGGGGGAGCATGGTGACCTAGGCCCAGGCAGGAGAGGTGGAGCCCACCTGGGCCCAGAGCCCACAGCAGCTCTGCTCCCTTCAGCAGCCCAGTGGAAAGGGTGGGGTGGCCATGGCGGGGCAGGGGGAGTAACTGAGAGGTTATTGCAATTGCAGGTCTATAGGTGGTATCACCTGGCCAAGCCCACACAAGGCAGTGTAGCGCCCTACTCACCCCAGGATGTCACCAGCATTAATCCCCAGGAAGAGTTAACTCTCACCCAGAGGGGAATCCACGCTCCAAGGGACCTGGGGACACCTTGGGCACACAGTCCTCTCATCCTGGCACCTGGAACTCCTTCACTCTTATTCCAAAGTAAAGCAGACAGACAAACCTCCATTCCAATCACAGAGCTCCCATCAGCTCCTCCACTCAGTAGAGTTTCTCTAACAGAGAGAGACTGCCACACATGGTAAGAGAGGAGCT